GCTCCAAACGCAGCGGCAGCTCCAAATGCAGAAGTGGCAGCTCCAAATGGCAGCGGTGCTCCAAACAGCAGTGGTGCTCCAAACGTGGAAGTGGCAGCTCCAAACACGACGGCGGCATGGGCAGAAGGGAAATCAACAGCGGCGGGCGCTGAAGGTCTTGGGTCTGCTGCAAAGGTGCTTGGCAGGAGTAGGGAGCTCTCCACGCTCTGCCATGATCGCCCATTAGGAGCAGCTGGTGGCGAGGAATTGCTGCCCGCGGGGCGCTCCTAACAGCAAGTCCCCCCTCCCTTCCCCCATTTTGCATGTTTTAAAATAGGCCTAAATTTGGGGGGAGGGGCTTAATTTCATTTTATGCCTAGAAAACATGCTGGGTCTTCCTATTGGGGGAGGTCGTATTGTTGGAGAAACACGGTAGTACTTCCCTTGATCTTGACTGTATCCCTCTGTTAATACAATTTAGGATTGCATTAGCTTTTTTGGCTGCTGCTGCACACTGCTGGCTCATATTTAGCTGGTTATCCACTAAGACTCCAAGATCCCTCTCACAGTTACTGCTATTGAGCCTGGTTTCACCCAGTCTATATGTGTACTTTTGGTTTTTCTTGCCTAAGTGTAGGACTTTACTTTTCTCTACACTGAATTTCATTTTGTTAGATACAGCCCAATATTCTAGTCTGTCAAGATCCATCTGGATGTTGAGCTTATCTGCTTCTTGGATGTTATCTATTCCTGCCACCTTAGTTCTCCAGAACTGGTCAGAACCTGCTGAATACCACCTCTGCTATGTATGTTATTGCTTTTCAGGATTAAATAATCTTAGCATTTAGGAGAAGAGAAAGATTATAATGGAGAAAGAGAAGATATATTTTGAATACAGAAAGTCCAAAGTTCTTTCCTTGGTGTCTCTGAATAAGGTTGATAACACTCCCATCTCAACGGCTGATCAGAGATTATAATGAAAATTTTGTTCTCCCTCCTGCTGGAAATTCCAGCAACTGCTGGAAGGTATCAGAAACCCCACTGCATAGCCCATAGTCCTCAACTTACAACAGTTCATTTAGTGACCATTCAAAGTTACAACGGCACTGAAAAAGGTGACTTATGATAGTTTTTCACACTTACAACCATTTTTTTAAACAAATTTTATTCAGTTTTTCACATTAAAAACAAAAATCTCTTTAGTGGACAACATATTTCCGGGTCATACTTTTACATACAAATATGACAGCAATTATACATTCATATATGCATACTTAATTCTATGATTACCTTTTCCATTCCAAATTTTCAGTAAGGAGAGAAACAAACACATTAATTCTAGCCTCTTTCATTAATCTCAATTGAAACATCTTTTTGTTTCATTTCAATTATTTCAAATATAATCCTTTAATATTTATTTTAAAAATAAAGATAAAGAATATGTGTTTGCCTAATAATAATAATAATAATAAAGTTACCAATGTCTCTCCTTGCTTTTAATAGTCTATATTAACTTATTAATTTAGTTGGTTCATATTCCCTTTCCGTTACACATTCTTTTTATAAATTCTAGATTAATACAAATTTTAACACACACAAAAAAAAAACAAGTATAGGTTTCCCCGCTTTTACTGTTTTGAGTGTGACACCTCAATGATTAAAATATACCTTTATTCCCTCATCTTGATTCCCAATAAACCATTATTTTTAAGAAGTTACAATAATAATCATTACATCTTTTCATTTGGATTCCGCAGCATATTTTCCCCGCTTGATTTTTAATAAGAGTTATCAGTATCTATATTACCCTATTTTCTAAATATTTTTAATTGCAGAAATATTCTTATTACCCCTTGTCACCCTGCAGAATCCCCTTTTTAATTCATCAACCATTATCTCTGAAAAAACAATTTCTTTTCAACATTTTACTATTTCCGTATTTCTTTATTTCATGCACCTGTTTCTTACTGCTTCTCCTCCCCCTCTTTTCCCCATATCTTTTCTCATTCCAGTTTATATCCCTCTCTTTCTTAATATCTTCCTTTCCCCTTTTCTGCTGGGTCTTTCTGCCTTTCCTGACTTCACAGGTATTCCCCCTTTTGATTGCCTTCTTAAATCTCAACTTTTTAACCTTCCTTCTTTCCCCACTTCTTTGTAGTGTTCTTTGTGTTAATTGTCTATTTAAAATGTCTTCTCCTTGAGTCGACTCCTCCTCCTCTGAAGCTCTTTCTTCTTGTTCTTCAATCGCCATTTCCATTTTTTCTAACACAGAGCAAAGTGATTCACCTCTTTCCTATAGTAATTCTCTCATATTTTTAAGTTTCATTTTTAATTCCCGAAGAGATATCATCATTACACACTCTTATATTTTATGATCATTAAAGTCCACAAAAAAAAAAACACTTTTACTTTCCTTCTTTCTTCTTTCAATTTTCTAAAGTTCTCAGTTATTCCAGCCGAGGGTCTATACCAAAAACATCAATCAATCCCACAGTCAGTCTTTGCTTGCTTTTTTCTTTATTCTGGTTGTGCTTTCACTTTCTAAGATTCTTACTTTGTTTCAATATTTCTTTAATGTTATATCCACACAAGTTCACTCAGAAACAGGATGCTTTCCCTTTTGTTTGAGCTCAAGTTTTTGTCAAAAGGTGGCACTCTCCATTATACAAAGTCTTCACCTTTCCCCCCTATTTTTTTATTTAGGGTTTTTCAAACCTCGATATTCCAGCACAGTCCAGTTTCCAATTTGTAAACTTTATTATTATTATTTTTTGACAATCTTAAGTCCAGCTTTATTTTATGCCTGTTTATTCCCAAAATATTTTAATCCAATTTAGTTAAATCTTTAGTTCCAGCTTCTTCCTTTCCTGGTTCGAAGCCCCGCTTCGCTGTCAAAAATATTTTCTTTTTTTCCCCCTGTCCCTTTGTAATTTCACCACTCACTTTTCTTTTCTTAAAAATTCCATGTTACCTTAATCCTGGGGTACTTTTGTTTAGTTGTATTGCCCAGTTGTCCCGGTTCAGATGTTATCCACCTCTTTCTTTCCTCCTGCACAAATCTTAATCCAGTTGAATCCTCCTCTTCGGGGTGGCCATTTTAAACCACCGCTGCAGTTGTCTTCAGGGGAAAAAGACCAAGCCCAAGGGGGGGAGATGCGGCTCCCCTCAACCTGGCTTGCGGCTTCCCCTTACTCTGCTGCCCCTCCAAGGCAGCTTCAGCCCCTAATCGTAATAATCAGGGCTCTCCAACGAAAGAGCACGGACCATAGCCGCAGAGAGTCGTGATCTACGGTCCATCAGCGAGGAGGCCCTGCCTTCTTCCCCCACACTTACAACCACTGTAGCATCAGCATGGTCACATGATCAAAATTCAGGTGCTTGGCAAGTGGTTCCTATTTATGACAGCTGTGATGATGTCCTGGGGTCATGTGATCAGCTTTTGGGACTTTTTGACAAACAGAGTCAGTGAGGAATCCAGAATCACTTAACAACCATGTTACTAACTTAACAAATGCAATGATTCACTTAACAAATACAATGATTCACTTAACAAAGGCAATGATTCACTTAACAAAGGCAATGATTCACTTAACAAAGGCAATGATTCACTTAACAAAAGCAATGATTCACTGAACAAAGACAATGATTCACTTAACAAATGCAATGACTCACTTAACAAATGCAATGATTCATTTAACAAAGGCAATGATTCACTTAACAACTGTGGCAAAGAAAGTTGCTAACATGGGGCAAACTCACTTAGCAAATGTTTCACTTAGCAACATAAATTTTGGGCTTAATTGTGGTCGTAACTCGAAGACTACCTGTATCAATACTGGGCTATATAGGTAAATTGATAATCTGATAAAGTGTGGAGTAATTTCCAAGGGCAGTGCATTTAATTTTCACCCAGTTTGGGATGTTGAATGTTACAATTATGAATGAGAATAATCATGAATAAAGAGTCAATAATGAATAGAAGAATGTCTTCAAACTACAGGAAAGATGATTCAAGACAGATATTAGAGTGAATTTTCTGGTGGCAAGTATTGTTCAATCAGTAGAACCAGTTGCCAAATGAGATAGCATACTTCTTTACTGAACTGTTCAAACAGAGGTTTTAGCAGATTTTGGCACTGATTGCACTAAAGACTTATGGGGTTACTTTCAACTCTGATTCTACAATAATATATAGACTGAATAATATATCAGCCATTAGACCTTTTACATATGGGTCAGCAGCAGTTAAAGACACTGGGTTTGTTAGCTGAAAAGCGGACAGCTTGGGTTCGAGACCCAAGCACTGCATGACCGCATGAGCTTCTGTTCCACCCTTAGCTGCCCACCTAGTAGTTCGAAAGCATACAAATGCAAGTAGATAAATAGGTACCACTTCAGTGGGAAGGTAACAGCATTCCTTGCCCCTCTGTCATACTTATCACATGACCACTGTGTTAAATAATACAGGTCTTTCAAGTTCTCAAGTCTGACAAATTACAATCTCATGGATGACCTCATATAAAAAAAATGCTTCATTTGGGATTCCACAAGAGTTGATTTTATTGTCAGCTTATCTTTTTTTTTAAAAAAAAAATCTGTTAACAACCATCCTAAGCTCGTTGTAGTTTTAGGAATGTTCACAGTTGTATTGGATTTTTAAGGATTCATTTTTATTTTAAATGTTGATTTAAGAAAGACACTATTGCCAGATTAGCACTTATGTGGAGCAAAGTTATACTGTGCATTGGTAGCCCTTCAGTAAAAGAAGTTTTAAACAATTTTGTTTACATGTTGTCATTGCCTTGGATACTGTATGGAACATATCGCATACATATCATTGCATCAAATAAAAGGGTATAAAGGTTCATACTTCTGCAGTAATTATTTTTTTAACTAGGAATTTTATTTCAATATATTTTTTTGTCTGTGTAGGATATGGAAGCTGGAGTGAACTGGCAAAAGCACTGGGAGACCAAAACAAACCGAGAGTCGATCCAAGTCTTAAGTTCTATTTGCCTGTAAAGACAAACATTCAGGTAAACAAAACAAAGAAGATTATGTGGATTAAGAGATGTGGTTGAATAGACACAGTTTTTGAATAAAACTATGCATTAAAAAAACCCACATCTAACAAATGTAACAATGGAAGTGGAAGTAGGAATGGAATCCTGATTTGTTATTAAAGGTTATTGCCCCTCACCCCCATATGAATCATTTTCACATTAAACAGGTAAACCTCGACCCTTGGGTGCAATTAAAATAGCCGTACAGGGTTCCCATCTATGACTATTTTGTGTTGATCATAATTCTAGCAGGGGCCTAAAAGGAACAAATCCTTGCTACAAAGCCTAGGCACAAATTGTTTTTAGAACTTTTTGGACTAGGTTTAGATCTTCATTGCTGAGTTTGAAAAGACAGATATACAGGTAGTCCTCAATTTACAGTCACAATTTTTGAGCCAAACATTTCTGTTGCTAACCAAGACATTGTTAAGTGAGTTTTCTTAAGGTTACTTTTTTGTCACACTTCTTAAATGACTCACTAAAATTGTAAATCTGGCTTCCCCATTGACTTTGCTAGTCAGAAGGTCACAAATGGTGATCACATGACTTGAGGGCAGTGCAACTGTCATATATACATGCCAGTTGCCAAGGGTCCAAATTTTGATCACGTGACCATGGGAATGCTGCAATGGTTGTAAAGTATGAAAAACAATCACAAGCCACTTTTTTCAGTGATGTAACTTCGAATGGTCACTAAACAAATACTTGTAAGTTGTATACTGTATTTTGCTGGATAGTCCCAGCTTCTTGTTAAGGGCAGGCTACACATCCAAATAAATATAAGGTAAAGCTAAAGGTTCCCCTCACATGTATGTGCTAATTGTTTCTGGCTCTAGGGGGCGGTGCTCATCTCCGTTACAAAGCCAAAGAGCCAGCCTTGTCCGAAGACGTCTCCGTGGTCATGTAGCCGGCATGACTAAATGCCGAAGGTGCATGGAACGCTGTTACCTTTCCACCAAAGTGGTTCCTATTTTTCTACTTGCATTTTTACATGCTTTCGAACTGCTCGATTGGCAGAAGCTGTGACAAGTAATGGGAGCTCACTCCGTTATGTGGTGCTAGGGATTCAAATCGCCGAACTGCTGACCTTTCTGATCGATAAGCTCAGCATCTTATCCACTGAGCCACTGCATCCCTAAAATCAGTATAGTACCTTCTTGTTGATTCCTCTTAGTTGCCTAAACTGCAGTAAAGCTTGAAGGAACAAACCAAACCAGAATTAGCAGCTGGTAATTGTGGTTGCGTTTGCCTAAAAAACGTTGGCTCAAGATCCAGATAAAAGACAATATTTTCAGGGAGGAATGGGACATTTCTACCATTCTGACATACTAATCATCATTTCCATTTTATTGAGCATGGTTATCTTACAGCCACCACTTCCCAAGAGACAGCAAGAGGATTAAAAAGCATGACAGGTTCATAAAGGGGGATTCTAAAAATTGAAGTGTTGATGGCATAGCTGCAAACTCTGTTCCATGAAAATCAAAAATGACAAGTGGATGATTAAACCTGCTAGTTTAGCTTTGCAGTGCAATTATTCAAGATGAGATTAAAAATGCTTGTGTATGGATGAAAAAAAGAAATATCAAATGCCCAAGTATAAGATGAGGGGCAGAATATCTGACGGAGTTATGATGGTGTTTGTGAAACAGGTCTTATATTTGCAAATTAAATGTGGACTAGTTGTATGATATGCCTGGGAGGGAGGGGAAAGTAAATGTTAGGGTTATAAAAGGGTATAATTTACAAATCACAGAAAGTAATAACTCCATTCCAGTTTGCATTGGCCAATCCTTTGTCCAATTCTGAGGACCACCCTTTAGGGAAGGATGTAGTCTAGAGAAATTGGAATAACTTCTAAAAAACTTAACAAAAGATATCTATGGAGATTCTCAGTCATAGTTGTCTCAAAGGTGCTTTTTCAAAAAGCAACTGGAAATTTCTTTTGTTTCAATGCACATCTTCAAGAAAAAACAAAGTCCAGTTGCCTTTTTGGGAAAAAAAAATCCATCTTTGGAACGTAACAAAAGATGAAACAAGATTTAGAAAGATAGCTGAGTAAGTTGTGGAAAGATAATGTTAAAGGTTGTCACATAAATCAAGATCAATTTTTCCTTTCATTTCAGAATTTAAATTGCTAGAATATTGGGACAGTAAAGATTGCAAAAAAAAAAAAATTATCCATGGACCTATATTTACATTAGTTAGAGGCTAATCTTTCTTATTGATATAACTTCTATATCATGCAATCTGTGATAGATCTCAGGGGGGAAAGGTATGTGTGCAAATTTAGCATTTCCAAATTCTTGTAAATCTTTAAAACTGTGTTCAGCTGTACGCACAAAAAGAACCTCAACTTTTTCTTTTGTTTCTCCCTCTCATGAATTTAGAACCAAACACAACAAAAAAGTTGGAGCAATAGGACCACTTCTGCAACATTGGAGAACATTGCTTCCGAGATATCCAAGGTTAATCTCTCTCTGTATAAAATCTCTTATCTATAAAGTTGTATAACTAGAATAAATATAGTTAGCAATAGCACTTAGGCTTATACAACACCTCATAGTGCTTCACAGCCCTCTCTAAATTGTTTGCAGTCAGCATATTGTCCCCAACAATCCATGTCCTCATTTTAATCGAACTTGGAAGGATGAGTCAACCTTGAGCTGGTCAGAATCGAATTGCTGGTAGTGAGCTGAATTAGCTCACAATATTGCATTCTAACCACTGTGCCACTATGATGGCCTCAGAAAAAAATGACTTGCATCCTGTCTTTTCACCACTCCACGGTTCCAGGATTGCAATTCGGGCACTTGGCAAATGCTATTCATGAGGGTTGCAGAATCTTGTGGTCCTGTGATCACCTGATTTGTGAGCTTCCCAGCTGGCTTCCAACAGGCAAAGTCAATTGGATTTGCTTAACTGTGTGATCCACTTCTCAACCTCATCATTCACTTAATAACCGCAGTGAAAGAGTTGTAAGATTGGATCTAGCCATGTGATGACTCACTTTATGACCAGATCAATTTATAGTAGAAATTCCGCTCCCAGCTGTGGTTGTAAGTCAAAGTGTACCTATATTTAAAATCTATGAACAATCTTGGGCTTCTCTTCCATGTATTGAATTGTGGTACCTAAAGCAGCAGAGGTGTTTATTCCTTATATTTCTTTCATAATGGAGTTTCACAAGTTTCCCCTGAATCTATTGTGACTTAAAATTATGCGAAAGTTGTTTAAGGCAGTATATGTAATTCACTTTTTAGTGGATAGAATCCTATAAATATAAGTTTAAATATTCTTGAAGCATCAACACAATGTCTCTGTTTTTCCAGACTCCTTTTTATCTAATTTATTTTCATTGGCATTTTCACATTCTCCATATTGCCGTACATGTAGCTGATTTGCTCCAGAGATAGTGAACTGCCAGACATTTTTTTTTAAAAAAAGGACAAAGCTATTCCTTTCTTCCTTTCATAGCAACAAGGGTTGAAAGGGGCCTTTCCCAACAAATTATGAGGGTTGCTTTGTTTTGTCTCACTGAGCACCAGTCAGTCTCCCTTTCATCATGCACAACTGCTGTCCCCAAATGTTATGCTGCACAGATCCTAGGCAGCTGGGATTGAGCATCTGACACTGAGAGATAGCCTTGGTTAGTGTAGTGGGGCAGTGGGACTGTTCCGGGTGACCGGAACAATACTAATGCAATCCTAAATTGCATTAACAGAGGGATACAATCAAGATCAAGTGAAATACTAATACCACTCTATAAAGCCTTAGTAAGACCACACCTAGAGTACTGCATCCAGTTTTGTTCACCACATTATAAAAAAGATGTTGAGACTCTAGAAAAAGTACAGAGAAGAGCAACCAGGATGATTAGGGGACTGGAGGCTAAAACATACAATGAACGGTTGCAGGAACTGGGCTTGGCTAGTCTAGTAAAGAGAAGGACCGGGGAGACATGATTGCAGTCTTCCAATATTTGAGGGGCTGCCACAGGGAGGAAGGGGTCAAGCTATTTTCTAAAGTGCCTGTAGGCCAGACAAGGAATAATGGATGGAAACTGAACAAGGAGAGATTTAACCCGGAAATAAGGAGAAACTTTCTGACAGTGAGAACAATCAACCAATGGAACAGCTTGCCCTCGGAAGTTGTGGGAGCACCATCATTTGAGACTTTCAAGAGGAGATTGGACTGCCATCTGTCAGAAATGATATAGGGTCTCCCACTTGGGTGGGGGTTGGACTAGATGACCTACAAGGTCCTTTCCAATTCTGATTATCTGTTATCAGGGGCAAGACCCAGTGAAACCCAGACCCAGTGAGACCCAGTGAAACCTCTCATGTACCAGCAGAAATGGGTCTGCATGCCACTTCTGGCACACGTGCCGTAAGTTCACCATCACAGGTCTAGGACAACCCTCTGTGGCCAACTCACTGCAGGACAGCTTGCTGTAGGACAATATTGAAGAAATGGTGGAATAGAATCATTAAAGAAAGAGGAAGGACAAAATAAAATGTGAATGACAAAAATGAAAAATATTTTTTTAGAAAATATTTTAAATAATTAAATTGAATTGTTGAGTTGTCCCATGGCGAGTTGTCCATGCAGCAAGTTGGCCTAGGCGAATTGTCCTGTGATGAATTGGCTGCAGGAAATTTTCCCATTCCGCATTCACCCATCCATCTTTTGGCTCTCCGATGCTCACCAGACTCTGCCCAAGAAATGAGCTGCAGCTTCTGAGGTTGCATGGGATTTTCTCCCCAGCTGATTTCCTCTCTTAGCCTCCTTTTGGCTTCCCAGCCCATGCTGCATGATACTGGCTATTGCTCTGCTTGTTGGGATAAGCCTCGGTCTTTATATGTCCAAGGCCACATTTCTTAGGTTGTTTTATTCTTTGTTTGCTTCATGGCTCTGTTTGCTGGTTTTTTTCCTCTTAGCTTCCCCGTTACTGACTTCAGTTAGGAATCCAT